CGAAGTAATGTATAAATAAGGGAATATACCCCTATCTACTTTGATGTTTTTTGGCTAGGCATTAGCTCCCCCACTATTAACTTGTCTGAGCTTAGAAGTTCCTGAATGTAACGAAATTGGCCAGGGGCTTAAAAACTCTTTAGTAAGTGAGGGGACAGAGTGACCCACGCACGCTGGGGAGATTATGGAGACAGGCAGCATATGTTCTCTGCCGCCCAGAAATACGCTCCAAGGGATTACACGTATGTCTTCACTGAACCTTGTCCTTAGACCCACCATGTGTCTTGCCCACGCCTGCACGCTTTGAGAGGGAGCGGGTCCTCACTACCGTTTGCCAGGACAGAGGAGCACACACCTGGCTAGCCTCATCTCGGCTGTGTTTCTTCACAACACTTCTGACGCCAAGGGTGTGGCCTTTGCAACGCCAACAGCCCCCGATTGTCCGGTGGCCAGGGGGATGTCTGCAGGTCAATTCTGACACGAACCACCTGGGTTACGCAGACTCTACAGGTTTCAGGGCTCGGCCTCAGAAGACTGTTCCCAATTAAAACACCGGTCACAAGTACTGGGTGCCCCATGTACCCACACTTCTGTCTGATGTGGCTACAAAGTTGGGGTTTCTTGCAGGCCCTCCCTTTCCGGTTTGATAATCTGTGAGATCAGCTCACAGAACCCAGGAAGGCACAGTACTTGGAAGTACTAGTTTATTCTAAGGGAGAGGAATGAAGAGCCAGAGGAATGGGTACATGGGGAGACTTCAAGGAGCTTCCGTCCCTGTGGAGCTGGGGTGTGCCACCCTCTCAGCATAGGGATGTGCTCATGGACCCAGAAGCTCTCTCAACCCTGCGGGTTAAGGTTTCTATGGAGATTTTGGAACTTAGTCCTGATTGATTAAATCCTTGGCCTTTGGTGATGAACTCCATCTCCAGCCCCTCTCCCATCCCGGGAGGGCAGGGATGGGTCTGAAAGTTCTAATCCTTTATTCCTACCTGGATCTTTCAGGAGGCCAACCCCATCCTGAGCTCCCCAGGGCCCAGCCTCCGGTCACCATTGGCATACAAAAGACATTCTTTCAACTTTTACATTCTTGCCTGTGATTTCCAGGGTTTTAGAAGCCACTAGCCAGGAACCAGGGACAAAGACCTATATACTAACATTTTCCTCTGTCACACCTCTTCTATGTAGCTCTGGACCTAAAAATCCTGGCTTCAGATTTTTCCCAGAGCAGCAGTTCTCAGTGTGTGGTCCCCGCACCAGCAACCCCTGGGCATTGGCCAGAATCCTCCGGCCCCACCCCAGACCCGCTGAATCAGAAACTCTGAAGGTGGAAGCCGCATTCTGTGTTTGAACAAATAAGACAGTTCTGATGCTTGCTCCAGACCCAGAGCCGCTGACCAGAGGGATTCAGAGGAGGGGGTATTCGGGTCTCATGTAAAGGGATGAGAAGAAATCAGCCAGGTATGCCAAGGGGATGGCCCCGGAGGACAAGACAGAATCAGAGGAGCCGGGAGGTCCGCATCAGCAGGGCTGGAAGGACAGGGCTAGGAAGCCCCGAGTTTTTTAAAACAAGAAAAATGGGCATTTAATCCGTGAGTGGCATGAGTGTGTGTATGTGTGTTTCAAAGCAAACGTCTTTGCTATCAGTTTGACATTCGGACTTGGGAGGAGGAACACCTGGAGGAAGGCGTGGGCTCGGGGCCACAAGGCCGACCCTGTGGACCCCACGGGAGACCCCGGACCGCAGACCTCAGGGCAGGTGGGGTCCCAGGCAGTCCGCTTTACCAGGACGTGCCTGTATTTGAGTTTTTGTTAGACAGCATGGTCTGTGTGTCCAGCAGGCAGCCAGGAGACCTCAGGCCGGAGCTGAAAGGGAGTCTGACCCACCCCAGGAAACCACTTCCAGCAAAATGGAAAACGATCAAGACCGGAGCCCAGCTTCTTCCTCCCCGAGGGGGTACACCCCTGCAAGGGCTTGAGTAGAAGAGGGGCCTGCATCTGCGTGTCTTCATCGGTGCCGTGTGGGCCATAGTGACGCATGGCTGGCTGTCCCTGTCTCGAGGACGTCATGGGACGGTGTGGGACACATTTGCTTTCGAGGTGGAGTCAGAGGGGAGGCCTCCCGGGTTTACCGAGCGCTGCGGCTGGAAGCCTCACGCATGCGCTGTGCCCACTGGGCGACTCCTGAGTCTTGCTCAGAACACACGGAATCGGAGCTGTCACCATACTCATCCCACTTGAGTGTCCCACACGGGTCACCAGGCCCAACACAAGCAGGGGGAGTGGGAGAGGGAGAAGCAGACTCCCCGCCGAGCAGGGGGCCCGATTCGGGGCTCGATCCCAGGACCCTGGGATCATGACCTGAGACGAAGGCAGATGCTTCACCACTGAGCCCCCCAGGTGACTCCTAAATCTGTATTTTAGAATAAGTGTTGGGGCTGAGAGCTTACCAGACTCCTTGGAATATTCATTTTTATTACCATTCTGTTGCCTCGTGGGGTTGAGGTTCCTCTTCAATGAACTTGACCTTCTTTGGTGTTTAGGGGCATTCATTTTGTGTGTTTTAAACCTTGCTCTTTCACAGAAATACTCTTTAGGATTATCCATATGTTTAAGTAAGTTTTCTTAAATTTCTGCGGAAGTATTCCATGATCATTATCACAGTATTTTTTTTAAAGATTTTATTTATTTGAGAGGGAGAATGAGAGAGAGAGAGAGCACATGAGACGGGAGAGGGTCAGAGGGAGAGGCAGACTCCCCGCCGAGCAGGGAGCCCGATGCGGGACTGGATCCCGGGACTCCAGGACCATGACCTGAGCCGAAGGCAGTCGCTTAACCAACTGAGCCCCCAGGCGCCCCCAAAGTCTTTTTTTTTTAAGATTTTATTTATTTATTTGACAGAGAGAGAGACAGCTAGAGAGGGAACAAAAGGAGGTGGGAGAGAGAGAGAAGCTGGCTCCTGGCTGAGCAGGGAGCCTGATGCAGGGCTCGATCCCAGGACTCTGTGATCATGACCTGAGCCAAAGGCAGACACTTAATGACTGAACCACCCAGGGGCCCCTCAGAGAGTTTTTTTTCTTTTTTTCAGAGAGAGAGAGCAAGAGTGTGGGGTGGAGGGGCAGAGGGGGAGGTAGAGGGAGAATCTTAAAGTCCATGCCCAGTGCAGAGCCCAACATGGGGCTCTATTTCAAACCCGGAGGTCATGACCTGAGCCGAAATCAAGAGTTGGACGCTTAACTGACTGAGCGCCCCCCCCCAGGTGCCCCTCAATCATTTTTAATAAGCTGTTTCTCATCAGATCCCATGGAAATTGGGCAGAAATAATTGCAAAATTCACATTAGGGAACATAAAATAAAAACTACACAGCTTGGTTAAAAATATAATTATGTTACATCAGCAGAGAACTGAAAAATTTTACAAAACTGCAAAGATCCTAACTACCACTTCCTTGTCCTTCATCAGCACCCACTGAGCTTAACCCCTCGCAGTGGGCAGTTTGGGGTCAGACACATGAGCTTCCATGGTGATTTCCTGTTGGAACCAGGGAGGACTGTCCTCCTCTGACTGCTTAAGAAAACCAATTTCCTAGGGAATGTAACTTTCCCCGTTTAAGGCATTGACTTGTCTTATTCTTTCTGACCAAGCTTAGCCACACTGTCCAATGTGTATTTTAGAGACTTTTAGTTTTCCTTGAGTAAAGAAGGATTTGTCTTCACATGGACCCTAGTGTTAGAGAGGATTGTGCCTGGCGTCTACAATCGACTGCTTTCTCCTCCAAAAGTGTATCTTTGGTTTGTCTTTTGCTCTCAACATCTGCCTGGCGGAGGAATGCAGTTGGGTATAGGGGATGCCGAGTTGTGCCCGGGCTTGGGCCGCAGACCCGGAGGACGGAGGGGCCGCACGAGCAGCGGGACCCCCTCAGGCTGTCCAGGGGCAGCAATGAAATCATTTGTAGATCTTAGTATATTTTAATTGTGTTCATTTTAAAGCAGTACCAGTTGGGATCTTTCTCTTTTTTTTTTTTTCTCCATCGGATGAACCCTTTAATATCGTCCTTCAAAAATGTGTATCTAGTTAGAGTCCCCTTAATATTGTGGTAAAATCTACAGGACAGAATGTTTCTCAGGACTGCTAAGTCGTTCACAGTGTTGTGCAAACATCCCCACCACCCACCTCCAGGTCTTGTTCATCTTCCCAGACTGAAAGCCTATGTCCGTGGAACAGTGACTTGCCAGTCCCTCTCCTCCCAGCTCCGGGCAAACCAACGTCCTGCTTTCTGCCTCTCTGGCTTTGACTATTCTAGGAACCTCATGTAAAGAATAGTACCTTTGTTTGGTAAATTTAATGAATTGAAATACTGAATAAATTTGGACATGTTTGCAAGCTGTAAACAGCACTGGGGACATGAATAGGGGCTGAGGATTGAACCCGCTTTCATTTCAACCATTTCCACTGACCTCATTCGATAGGACAGCTAAGTCGTTATTGTGAAAAGGCCTCCATTCAGTTTATAACCATGGCAAAATTTAACTCTGGAATCTCTGGTGACAAACTGCTTTATGTTTCTTTTGTCTGTATTTCTTTCTGGCTTATTACCGATTGCTCCCTATTGTGACTTGTCAAGTGGAAACACAAGACAGGCATATTATGTTTCTTTTGAGAAGTGGGTGATGTTCCCAACTCCAGAAACAATAGGAAAGAACGATGTGTCATCAAATGTATGTTGGCACCAATTACAAGACAGAGGCACATGTTGACTTTAAAGATGCAAAGATATAGGAGACAAGTATGGGTAACTTAGAATTGATGAAATTCCCTGATAAAAATCAGGAAGACAGGTCAGAAAAGAACCAGTATGTCAAGAGTTGGCCAATTGGTCATTATCATAAAGACTTGGCAATGTGGTAAATCCTTTTAAAAAAGAGATTTCCTTTGCTCTTCCTCTGCCTTTCCCCATGGGGCACATTTCTGAGTCTATTATACGTTGTACCCTTTCCTGCAGGGCAAATGACCACGAGGGCGGGCTGCTACCGAGACCTGAGGTTTCAAGTCAACACATCGTTCTGTAATCCCAGCACCAGACCTGTCACGGGGGTGGTGTCTTGCAAAGTATCTGCCTGTCCTCCCAGGTAAGGGCTGCTGCATTCATCCAGACGGGTGTCATATAGTTTTGCAAATATATCCGTGAGTCCTGGGAGCTCCAGAGTCTAAAGAAGGGAAGAGCTGATTGTTGTCATGTAATCCGGGAACAGGAAGGGGCAAGAGTACCCAGAAGTGCCTGAACAGGTATGTTTGGAATATCTTGTGAACTTACGTGCAAGTCCTCCCAACGGCATCCTATTTGCTGTGTTTTCACTTTAACCACCGCAGGCCGGCAGGGGTGATAACATACCGCGGTGACAGTAATGTTTTCCCTCTCAGCCTCCGGTTCCTTTCGCTCTGGTTTATTTGCCTACTGAATGAAACGTGTCAGAAGGATCCATTCACAGGCCTGCCAGGTGAGGCAGGGTGTGTGGATTGCTGCAGCGCACGCATGCACACACACGCACACATGCACATGCACGCACACGTGTGAGACTGAGCGAAGGAAGCCGGGGCTCCGGCATCCCGTTCTGCCCGCGGTGCTGCCGCCCCGAGATAGTTCTCAGGAAAGCGCAGGTGCCCCGAGTCGGTGGGCTGGGCCAGCCCCGCGGTGCAGCCTCGGCCCTGCTCCCAGCTGTGACAACCCGGGCACGCCCTTCCCCTCTCTGTGCTCAGTGGCTTCGTCTTCACGGGGGCCATGTCCCAGAGGGATTGTGAGAATCATCTGAGTAACATATTTACAGAATGAAAGTCTGACTCCAGATTCTTCAGACAGGCCGACGCACTAAAAACAGTACAAGATAATCTCAAACTTCTTGATTTTTAAAATCCCCAGTAGCTGGAGAGCTGATTGCAGGTTTGCGGAAATGTGTCTCAGCAGCGTGACAGGGAGACAGGGACACTCAGGAGGGAGAGAGGCCCCATCTCTCCCCTTGTCTCTGAGCTGTCGGGTCCCTGGTCACTGGCTCAGGATAGAGACGGAGGCTTCCTGCCCGCATCTGAGAGGTCGCCACTGTTCCTTCCACCATGGTGAGGGGGTCCTCCCTGGGAACATCTGTCCTCCAGTCTCCCTGCTCCCTCGGGGGCTGGGGACCCACCACCTCACAAAGCCACCTGGCCTGCCCCAGTCCGGGCTCCTCAGCCAGCACGCCCCATGGCCTGCTGTTGAGAGGTATGCCAGTCGAAACTGACACGAGGACTTTGGTGCTGGAGGCCCATCACCCACCAGGGCATGGGCGCCCACCTGGGGATCCTTTCTGGGGCTGGACAGGCTCTTGGAATGGCCACATGCCGTGGTCCCCACATCATATCCCTCTGCGGACCCATGCACCCGGTGGGCAGTGCTGAGCTGGACAGCGGGAACACAGGCCACCGCAGACATGTCCTGTGTCCGAAGCGACAGGCCAAGTGCACAAAGTTCTGGGTGGTTGAGGAAGTGAAACTCGCGGTTGGCGGAGGGAGGCTGACGGCAGCGTGGCACCATTGCCTGCAAAATAAATCATGCTGTCCGACGGAGACAGACTGCAGGGCGGCCTCCTGCCAAGCGGGTGCACCCCCGGGACTCCTTCCTGGACGGCCAGGTGGGCACCTGTGTTCCAAGTGACTCAGCGTTGCCGTCACTGTGACCTCGATGGCGGATCTCCACGGAACCTCATGACCAGGGAATACTTGCTGACATCGTGCTGAGTTCTTGCAAGGGCCCGCTGACCTGGGGCACCTCAAAACAGCTAGTTAACTGTGCTGTAGAGAAACCTCCCTCACTGAGACGAAGAGACGTGTGTGCATGTCACTTTTCTGTGCATGAGGAACCAGCCTTAGTGAAGGTCGATCTGTTTGAGCTCTGGATAATTGGGAATGGTTAGTGCTCGCCCGTCTGCTCGATGAAGCTCATCTAGGGGGGATGTAAGGAAAACACCCAGGACTAGGTCCCCAACTCCTGGCTGCCAGCATCCTGCCTTTAAGCATCACCTGACTCAGCTGTGAACTGAGAGTGGGAACCCAGAAGAGGCCTCCCTGTGTCTGTGACCCATGCAGGGCTTGACCTGGAAGCCGGAATAGGCAGAGCCGCTGGTGCTTCCCTGAAGGGCGCAGCCCCACCCCCACCCTGGGGGGGGAAAGCTGGGGCACCCGCCCCCTCGCCGCTTCACACGCACACATCGCTTCACTCCCACACGGAACCCCCGCTAGATGTGCCCCAGCCATCCCAGCTCGTCCTCTAGGCAGTGGGAAGCCAGCGGCAGTGATGCGGGTGCCCTCCGTGGGCTCCCTGCAAAGGCTCTGCTTCCTCCTCCTCGTCTCCAGCTCCCTCCTTCTCCTTCCGCACTGCCCCAGCTCCAGCTCTGTGGGCAAGGCCAGCCCCAGGCAGGTGGAGCCCCAGGATGGGGTGCTGTCAGATTCCCTGGTGAGCTCCCGCAGCAGAGCTGCCCTCACCTGGCGCCCAGCTGCCTACCAGCTCAGACTTGCAGGAAAGGAGAGCTAGTCTCCCGTGTTTGAGCCCTGGCCATAAGGTCCCCATTGGTGTGGGAAGCCACCTTCCTAACTCCGGTGTGCCTCGCCTGTGAAACCCAGGTCCGAGCCACCCCTCACTGGCCACCGCCTCCTCGTGTCACTGCAGCTCACGCCGTCCTGGACCCACACTCCAGTCCTGTCTCACCCGGACAGTTGCCTTCCCACGCCTCACTGTCCAGGACTCCCCCGGCACAGAGTCCAGGGATGGCGCTGTAACCCTTCCCTTGGCACAGCTCTTCCTCCATTCTCCTCCCCCAAGACCCAACCTGGCTACACCCAGCATGTCACCCAGGCCATGCACAGCGCTCAGGAGCTCCAGGCTGCAGGAAATTCAAAGCCCATGTTCTCGGTGGAAAAGGATGGGCCCTCTCTTAGTGGCCACCCAGGATGGCCCACCACCCCTCCCAGCGCAAGGATTCCGTGTCACCTCCAGTGTCCTCCAGAATTCGTCCTCCTCCCCATCCACACTCTCAGCCCCTGAGACCTCGGACCTCAGACGCGAGAATCAGGTAAGGGCCACCTCTGCTTCCTGCTAACAGCCCACCTGTGAATCCCCCCGCCCCCACTCGCTCTGGCCCCTCTTCACAGTGAGCCAACGGTCTCGTTTCTTCCCGAAAAGTCCTCATGGGTTATGTCTCTGATTACCCTCTTCCTTCAGGCTTATGGATTCCTTCCAACAAAGATTTCTAAGTGGATGTTGCATTTTCCTTAGGCTGTCTTGTAAACGCACACATATTAGGAGGTCACTCATGTTCCCTGCAGGTCACCTGTGTAGCCCATTGTTTTTCTCCCAGGGCCTCCTCTGCTTCCCTGAAGTTTGTCTTTCTGGTTTTGAGGGACCTATTGTCAAAACACCTCTATGTTCTTTGATGTATTCTAAACGTACCCAGGTAAAATTTTATAAGTAAATTTTGTCAAGAGCTTTGTATGCTGAAAGAAAAGGCACAGTTCAGAGCAAAAGGACTAGTCTAAGGGTAATTGGCACTGATGAATGGGAACAGCATTGTTAAAACATAGTGAGGACACCCTAAATTCATCCAGGAAACATCCAGAGGCCTCCATCCATCTGGCTCTTTGATTTATGTCTAATGTTTTCGAATATTTGTATTCTTATCTGAAGGAGAAAGCTTTTGGAGACAGTCCTAAGCTTGCTGTAAACCTAATGCCGTACCTTCCTGCTGGGAGACCCCTAATGAGCTTCCCGCCACATCCCCAGCAAATAGCAGAGGCCTGGTGACCAATGGGACCCCGCAGGTTTGTGCTGAACAGGTGGGGCAAGATGTCCCAGCCTCTGGCCCCAAGTGCGCATCAGAGTCCTTTTGACGGAGTGGCCTGGTCGGCTGGGATTATGAGGATGGCGGAGAGCAGGGATGGTGTGAGCTCGGCAGCTGGTTTAAAGGTGTGGTTCACATGTCTCTTGTGTGTCCACTTTGTATGTAACCAGGGTGATAGAGAGTGAGGGTTTGTTGAGGGAATTCATGTGAGATCCACACACTCTACGTGCAGCACGTAGGCTAAGCACTCGATAACTCTTGGCTGTTTTTATTTAGGGTGTAAAAGGAGAAACAAAGTCACATCCATTATTTATTTAGTCTGTGAAGCAAGACTATGGCAAAACACAGAAGAATGAGCTTATATCACATGTGTTAATCCTTGTGCATTTTTATTTTAACAACTGAGTTGGGAAAATAGATCTTAATTTAAAAGTTGTTTTGTTTTCCTCTGCGATGTAAGATACATTTCTCTCTTGCCCAGAAAACTGGCAGTTTTTTTGTTCCTTCTTCAGTGGGATCCGGGAGTGGGGTCTTTAAAACATCTTAATTCCTAGCCTTCTTGTCTTTAACTGAAATGAAAATGAAACCCTGCTACACCGGTTGCAACTCCTGACCTCCCCATCAGCGTCCGCATGCTTGCCTGGGCTGAGGCTGGAGCTGGTGCAGCCGGAGGGCTGTGGAGCCCTAGCCTCGGCGGCCACGTGGGCTCCCCAGCTCGTAAATGTGGGTGGGGGCGGTGCACTGGGAATCAGGAGTCTCCTCCCTGGAGGAAGATGATCCTAGTATGTCCTGGAGGCTGCTGCGGGCTGGAGCATCAGGGCTAAGAACCAGGCATCCGCACTTCCCAGGTGCTGCTCTGGGCTGGAGCGCGGCCAGCCGGCAGCCTGCGGCTTCTGGCTTCTGCTCCACACTGAGGGCTGGCTCCGCGCTGGCCTTGGAACGGACAGCAGGGGGCGCGCCCAGGGCCCGCTACCTCGGTCCTCCTTGGAGCGTGAATCAGGCTCTGTTATCACTTGCCTGTGAAACACGAACCATAAATCACACAGATACTTACTTCCTTTATATTTCTGAGCTTATCTAAATGGAGTGGCCCTTCATGTCATTTATCTTAACTAGTATCTCGTTTTGGAAGCATGAATACCAACAGCACGCCTTCCTGGACAATGGCGGGAAGATGCGAGAGGAAATACTTTCCAGATGGGAAACTGGCCCTTTTCCTTCCTCTTCATGATTCTCCTAGGAATGCAGAGTAAGAGTTTAGGTAA